ATTGACTTTAGCTTCACCTTTAACACCATAATTCCAACTAAACTCTTCTGCAAACTTCAAGATCTAGGGCTGTGCTTCCCTTTCTGCAGCTGGATCCTTGACTTCCTGACTTGCAGATCGCATTCAGTAAGGACAGGTGACAACACCTCCTCCAAAATAATCCTCAACAATTGTGCCCTGCAAGGCTACACACTCAGCCCCTTACTATATGCCTTATACACTCATAACTGTGTGACCAAATTCAGTCCCAACTTTTTTACAAATTTGCTGATGTCTGCAACATAATGAGTCGGATCTCAAACAATGACAAGACAGAGCACAGGAAAAAGGTAGACAGCTCAGTGGCATGGTGTAAAGACAACAACCTCTCCCTCAATGTTAGCAAAGCAAAAAGACTTAAGATCGACTCAAGTGGCGTTGAGGATAGACCCCTGTTTGTATCAATGGTGCTGAGGTGGAGATGGTATAGAGCTTCAAGTTCCGAGGAGTAATATCACCAACAATCTATCCTGGTCCATCCACATTGAAGCTACAGTGAAGAAAGCACACCAACACCTCTACTTCCTCGGATGGCTAAGGAAATTCAGCAAGTCCACAATGACTCTTACCAATTTTTGTAGATGCACCATAAAAAACATCCTATCTGGATGCATCATAGTATGGTATAACGATTGCTCTGCTCAAGAACACAACAAATTACAGAGAGTCGCAAATGCAGCCCAGTCCATCATAAAAATCAACCTTCCTTCCATTGACTCCATCTACACTTCCCATTGCATTGGGAAAGCAGCTAACATAATCAAAGACCCCTCCCACCCTGGTTATACTCTCTTTCAACCCCTTCCATTGGGCAGAATCATAGAATCCTAGAATCATAGAATCCCTACAGTGTGGAAACAGGCCCTTCGGCCCAACAAGTCAACACCAAACCTCAAAGCATCCCACCCAGACCCATCCCCCTATAACCCACCTAATCTACACCTCTGTGAACACTACAGGCAATTTAGCATGGCCAATCCACCTAGCCTGCACATCTTTTGGCCTGTGGGAGGAAACCGGAGCACCCGGAGGAAACCCGTGCAGACATGGGGAGAATGTGCAAGCTCCACACAGACAGTTGCCTGAGGCTGGAATCGAACCCGGGTCCCTGGCGCTGTGAGGCAGCAGTGCTAAAGTTTGAAAACATGTACCAACGTATTCAAGAACAGCTTCTTCCCTCCTAGAGTTATCAGACTTTTGAATGGACCTCTCATATATTAGAGTTGACTTTTGCACCTTCTCTGTCCTATTACCCTGATGTACTTACATAAGATATGATCTGCCTGGTGAGTACACAAAACAAGACTTTCCACTGTATCATGGTACATTTGACAATAATAAATCAAATCAAATCAAATCTTAACTGCCTCACTGTGAATGAGAAGATTTATATCACGGTCATTTTTATCCATGCCAGTTCTTTTTTGGATTAATCCAAACAGATCTCAACACTCTGATCTCCCCACATAACCTGCTATCTGCAGCTTCAAATATTTGTTTATGTTTCCTTTAAAAGATGCAATAACTGTTTCCACTATACACTGGGACTGTTTTCTGGGACAGCATGTTCTATATGAAATGAAAATGATTACTGATGTTGACAAAGTAAGTTCACAATGAGCTGAATAAACAACAAATTTGATTTTTGCGCTATGACCAAATTACAAAGAAAATTTCCAATTCTTCAACCAGGTGCTGGTATCTATTTGAAAAACTGAAACAAGGAAATTAAAACTTGATGTAAATGTATATCTCATCACGCAATCACTTGTGAATGAAATTCAGTGTTGCTGGTCACTGGCTCTGTGGGTGCTTGTGCCACTGATGAGCCCGATCCTAGAGCCACATCTCTCACTACACAGAGATAGTAGGAACTGCAGATGCTGGAGAATCCGAGACAACAAGGTGCAGGGCTGGATGAACACAGCAGGCCAAGCAGCATCATAGGAGCAGAGAGGCTGACGTTTCGGGCCTAGACCCTTCATCAGAAAAGCTCGTCCAGCTCGTCCCTGCCTCCCTAACCTGTTCTTCCTCCCACCTATCCCCTACTCCCACCTCAAGCCGCACCTCCATCTCCTACCGACCAACTTCATCCCACCCCCTTGACCTGTCCGTCCTCCCTGGACTGACCTATCCCCTTCCTAACTCCCTACCTACACTCACCTTTCCTGGCTCCATCCCCGCCTCTTCGACCTGTTTGTTTCCTCTCCACCTATCCTCTCCTCTATCCATCTTCTATCCGCCTCCCACTCTCTCCCTATTTATTTCAAAACCCCCTTCCCCTCCCCCTTTTCTGATGAAGGGCCTAGGCCCGAAACATCCTTTTCTGATGAAGGGTCTAGGCCCGAAACGTCAGCCTCTCTGCTCCTATGATGCTGCTTGGCCTGCTGTGTTCATCCAGCCCTGCACCTTGTTGTCTCTCACTACACATTTGGCTGCTGTTTCTGGAAGGTGGAATTGGCCCTTGTCCTTGCGATCGTTGGCATTCCTTCCTCCTCGTTCCTTTTTTGTACTTCCTCTTGCCGATGGGTGTTCTCAAAAAATTTTGTCTCTTCATACAGGAGCTTCCTCCAAGTTGGTTTCTTCTGAACAAAGGTCTCACATGTATTGACATTTATGTAGCATTTCTTGAGAGAAGCTTTCTTTCTAAAGGGAAGCAGATGTAGGACTGAGGTCAGGAGGAACTTCTTCACCCAAAGGGTTGTGAATCTGTGGAATTCCCTGCCCAGTGAAGCAGTTGAAGCTACCTCGCTGAATGTTTTTAAGGCAAGGCTAGATAAATTTTTGAACAGTAAAGGAATTAAGGGTTATGGTGAGTGGGCGGGTAAGTGGAGATGAGTCTCAAAAAGATCAGCCATGATCTTATGAAATGGCGGGGCAGGCTCGAGGGGCCAGATGGCCTACTCCTGCTCCTAGTTCTTATGTTCTTATGTTCTCAACATCTTTGAAACATTCCCTTTGCCCTTCTCTTGTTCAACTGTTCATTCAGCAAATCAATTTTATATTGACTTTCACTGTGCTGAATTTTGCTGCCTTTGAAAAATATAGACACTCTCAAGATAGTTGACAAAATCAGCCAGAATTAAAAATTAAACTTTAAATATTAAAGAAATCTGATTTTCCACTGAAGGTTTTTGTGGCTGCATGTGAATCTTGCTAGTGAGCAGAGAGGGGTCTGTCTGCATGCATTAACATCTTATTCTTATTTAGCCTCACCTCACTTACATGCAGATTGCTATTCTTCCAGCTGCTGGAGAGCAACTGGTCAGCACCAAATTGCAACTTGAAGTCAGAGGGGTTACCGGGAGGCTGCAGCTTGCCAGCACTTTCTCTTGGCCAGTGTTCCCTAATACTTAAGGTACATTCCTGGGCATTACCCTTTGAGGGAGGGAATTCTAAAGGCTTACAACCCACTGAGGGTTTCATTGAATACAAGGTACTCATGAATCACTTTTTATGGAGGAGAACTACACTAGAAGATAAGAAAATTTGCTAAAGATGTCAAGTTTTACTTTACAAGAGATGTAGTCTTCAGAACCACAAACCGGAGTGAGGATGGTGGTCAATGGACTGAAAACAGGGAACATATGATAAAAGAAAAACACTAAAGGACAGGTAAAGTCCCCTAACTCCCAGAGGTCTGTCGGATTTTTCTCACATTAGGGACAGAAAACTGGTGGTGGTTTAACCTGAGGGTCACCATGCTTCAGGCAATGGGAGAGGTTGAGAAGGAAAGCACTTCAAAGAAACCTCAACTGGTGTGGGAATTGAACCCAAACTATTGGCATCAGTCTGCAATATAAAGCAGCTGTCCAGCTAACTGAGACCTCTAAGGTAAAGTTGCCATAGTCCTACTGGACCAGAGGGCTGCTTTGTCAGTGCACAGAAACAACTGGTGGTGATTTAACCTGAGAATCAGCATGCTTCTGGTGAGGGGAGAAATTGAGAAGGTTTTGGTTCGATTTATTGTTGTCACATGTACCAAAATACAGAGAAAAGTATTTTTTGTGTGTTCTACAGGCAGATTGTACCATTCAAAGTGCATCAGGTAGCAGAACAAGAGTGCAAAATACAGCGTACAACCACGAAGAAGGTGCAGAGACAGAGATCAACATTAACATTTGAGAGGTCTGATCAAAAGTCTGATAACAGCAGAGAAGAAGCTGTTCTTGAATCTGTTCATACGTGTATTCAAATTTTTATATCTTCTGCCCGATGGAAGAGGTTGGAAGAGAGTATAACTGGGGTGGGAGGGGTCTTTGATTAAGCTGGTTGCTTTCCCTAGGCAGTGGAAAGAATAGACGGAGTCAATGGATGGAAGGCTGGTTTGTGTGATGGACTGGGCTGTGTTCACAACTCTCGTAATTTCTTGTGGTCTTGGGCAGAGCAATTGCCATACCACACTCTGATGTATCCAGATAAGAAGCTTTTTATGGTGCATCAATAAAAATTGGTAAGCCTCTGTGCAGACATACCAAATTTCATCAGTCTTCACAAAACCTTCACAGTTCTAACAGGTTTGTTTGAAATCACAAGCTTTCGGAGTGCTGTCCCTTTGTCAGATGAAGTCACCTGTACAACACCGGCATCTCCACATCACCTGAACTGGTGTGAGAACTGAACCCATGTTACTGGCATACTCTGCATCACAAACCAGCCATCCAACCCACCCACAAAACTAAGAATAAAATGTCATAGAATAGAATACAGCAGAAAAGGAACAAAGAGTAATTTCTGGAGAAGGGCCATTCAACTCTAAACGTTAACTCTGTTTTCTCTCCCCACAAATGCTGCCAGATTTGCTGAGTTTCTCCAGCAATTTCTGTTTTTGATTCAGATTTCCAGCATCTGCAGTTGTTTATTTTATCAGAATGGTTTGCCTTTGAGAATTACATCAATGTAACCCAGGACTACAACTCCCATAGGGCTTTAGTGCCGATGCGTATGCGTGAAAAATGTTGTTTCCGGTGCCTGGCCATTACTTCCGGTAGGGTGACCTTGCCCGGGGCGATGGAAATGGCGGCAGTTGTCAGGCGAACTGTGATCTGTGGACGCGGCTTTAAGCGTGAGTGACTGTCCCTCTCTAGTTTGGGGGTGGAAAGTTTTCAGCCGGGTTGGGATTTAATGTCGTCGTGGTGTTAGCCGCCGGACTGAGAGTTTAATGTTAGTTCGCAATCCGCCTGACTCAGACAGGGTGAAGAGGGAGCAGGCCAGGCCCGGTTACTGCGGTAACGGCCACCTAGTCTCACCCCAAACCATCGCAAATAACAGCTCGTTTAGCTTGCTGTCTGTCACTCTGTTGTGATGTTCCACTTGGAGAGTTCGCAGTGACAGCCAAGGCAAGAGAATGGTTAAGAAGTGGAGGTGGGGTGGAGCGGTGCAGGGAAGAGAGGTGGGGCTAAGAGGCGGCGGCAGGTGGCACAATGGTTAGCGCTCAGCGCCAGAGACCTGGGTTCAATTCCAGCCTCGGGCGACTCTCTGTGTGGAGTTTGCACTTTCTCCCCACGCCTGCGTGTGTTTCTTGTGGGTACTCTGCTCCCCTCCCACAGTTCAAAGGTTAGGGGATTGGCTATGCTAATTGTCCCATAGTGTCCAGGGATGTGTAGGCTAGGTGGGTTAGCCACGGGAAATGTAAAATTACAGGGCTAGGTTGGGATGCTCTTCAGGGGGTTGGTTTGGACTTGATGGACTGCATAGCCTGCTTCCTACACTGTAGGGGGAATTCTAAGAGGGGGGCAAGAGGGATGGGTGTTGGAGAGGTGGGGTAAGAGTGGTGCTGTTGTAGAGTGGTGGTAAGAGATGGTTCTGGGGTGCAATGAAAGGGTCTGTGTGAACAGAGGTGTGTAAGGAAGGGAAGAGGGGTTTCTTGCTGACCAAGGTGGGTGGTGAAAGAAGTAATGTGGTGGATCAAACAAAAGAAACTTTACGTTGTAATAAAACAAAGAACCGAGAACGCTGAAGATCTGAAACAAAAATAGAAATTGCTGGAAACTCGACATGTTTGGGAGCATCTGTGACAAGAAAGCAGAGTTAATGTTTTGAGTCCAGTGATCCTTCTTCCAAACTTCTCAATGTTTTCTTGGCTTTTGGAGCTTCCATCTCTGGGATAGTTATGACTGTATCAGCACTCGGCCGGACTCTAACTGTATGCACCTTGCAGAAGAATTGCCAATGTGTCAACTACATAATGTATTTTTCTGTATTTAGCTTGATCCCAGCTTTCCTAGTTCTCTATCTTTCTTAGTGCATATAATGGCCATGGTTATTTTTCATTCACACCATAGATCTGGATATCTTCAGCTCTGCTAACTGCTCCTTTACATCCTCTCTATTGTTTCATCTATTACTGGATAGATGGAATTACTGGACAATGGATCACTAACCTCCAAAGGTAGATGGAGTGTGTATTGAATGTTAACAGCAAGACTTCTCGTCAAGGCTTCACATTCCGCAGTTACTCTTCAAAAAGTACTTCTTGGTTGTAGAAACATTAAAGTACGATTCAAAACAAAATTTTTTAACTGTCAAAACACAGTCTTCAGATGAATTAGGACTAGAGGTAGGATAATTGTACTAGTGCTTGCAGACATAATTCACCCCTATTATGTTTTATATTTCTGTTATAAATTCCTGTAACCCAGAATTATAATGGGGAATTTTGTGACATAACCTTTTGGATGAGATAAATGGATTAAATAGCACAGAGTGCATTGTACACACGTTGTGATGACATTAGCTAGATAACCGTTCTGTTTAGGACATAGGAACAGTAGTAGATCACTCAGCCTTTCAAGTCTGTTCTGCTGTTCGATGAGATCATGGCCAAGCTGTGACATAACTCCATACACCTTCTTTTGGCCAGAGATTTGGTGCCCAGGTCTGTTGTCAATACTCCATGCAGGCTATGACTAGGGTTTTATATAATTGCAGCATGACTTCTGTGTCGTTATACTCCTGTCCTCTAGATATAAAGGCTAACATTCCATTAGCTGCCTTAATTATTTATTGTACCTGTTTGTGTTATTTTAAAGATCTATGCACCTGACCCCCTTGAGTCTCTTTGGTTATCTGCTGTATTCAACTTGATACTATTTAGAAAGTATGCTGATCTATTGATTTTCTATCTAAAGTTAATACTATCACACTTGCTTATGTTGAGCTCCAGATGCCGGAATTTTGCCCATTCATCTAGCCTATCAATATCCCTTTGAAATTTTATGCTATCATCTGCACTGTCTGCAATGCTGCCTAATTTTGTCGTCAGCAAATTTGGATGTATGACTTTCAATGCCATTATTCAAGTCATTAATAAATAATGAGAATAACTGAGGCCCTAAAACATCCTTGTGGGACACCACTGGTCACATTTTGCCAATTTGAGTACTTACTCAGTATCTCTACTTTCTGCTGCCTGCCACTCAAACCATTTCCCAGCTATGCCAGTAATTTGCTCTCAATTCTGTGGATTTCTGCATTTTGGTTAACAATCTCTTATGCAGGACTTTATCAAATATCTTCTGGAAGTCCATATAAACAATATCCATTGACATTGCCTATTCACCACCTTAGCTACCTTTGTCACTGTTATGGCCCATGAAAATTGTTTGTGTGCTCATGTGATGTTATCTTGTATCTTTGCCTGTTTTATCTGATTAGAATCCTTATTTGTGCATTGTAGCCTAGATTTATTGGCATCTTACACTTTGAGTTGAGTACTGAGTCAATTCTGATCTCCTGATGCATTCAGCATTATGTTAGCATTATCCAAAGGTATAGGGTGGTGGTGGTGTTAATCTGGCAAAGTAAGAAACAGATCTATCTTCTGCATAGGTTTATTCACAATACCCTGCACAGCATAAGTGCTAATTTTCCCTTTCACAGATCAGACTTTTCCCAGGTGGACAGTGGTTCTTACGTATTTGAATAACCTTTTTGGACTTGAGCCCAAACCCATGGTGATAGTCTCCCTACCTCTGAGCCACACGACACCCTCTTCCCCCCAAAATAAAGTCATGTTATATTCAGTGTAGGAGCAGCACATTGACTTAATTCTATCCTATCATTGTATTTCTAATTATTTTTAATAAATCTATTTGGACATGTTATGACACACCTCTGGACTAAGTGGGATTTGAATCTGGACCTTATGGCCCAGAGAAAGGAACACCACAATCCTCAAAATCTACTACACCAGTTTCTTGTATATACCTTTTACCATTAGTACCTTCTAATCAACAAATGGATGGTATCACCTACCATTTATGTGTAAACAATACTCTGCTGTTTCCATCACCATTTTCAACTTCACATCCATCATTGTGTCCATTTAGTGGTTGCCAGCATTTCAGTTGGTGATGCCTCAAAATATCTTTTGACTTAATATTGGTTAAATGCAAACCACTTCCCAGCCTGCTTACTGGCGTGTAGGCTTGAAGATCTATTTGATCCCAAAACTAGACTTTAAATCCTTATTTTGATCTTCAATTCTCAGATTTATATCCACACCTAGCCCAGATTTCATGACCTTCTAACATCGTCTTCTGTAAATTCGAACTCTTCCGAAGTCCATTGCTCACACATTACAGGAAACCCCGCTAGATGTAACGAGTCATTGTATTTAAATTTAAATATTTTCCTGATTTGTAAATCCAGCTACAACATTGCTCCATCCCTCCGATTGTGACTGTCTTAAGTCTCTGTGATGCATATGCTCTCCCGTCTTCCATACCTGGTCTGCTGTGCATCTTCTCTCCTTCTGTTTGACCCCCTGTGGAAGAGTCTGGCTATAGTACCTCTAGCCCTGGGATACTCTTCCTAATACACACCACCTTCACACTTCTTCTCCACTTTTAAAAACCTTCTCAAAATCTAGTCTTTTTGCCATACCTTTATTTGCTTGTTGATGTATCTGCATGGAGTGCATTTTTTTCATGTCTGTGAAGTACCTTCAGTCAGTTCTTTATAGAAAGCTTCATTTAAATGTAACAAAAACAGAGATTGCTGGAAAAACTCAGCAGGTCTGGCAGCATCTGTGGAGAGAAATCAAGAGTTGATGTTTCCAGTTGAATGACGCTTCCTCGGAACTCTGAGAACTTCTGAGGAAGGGTCACTCGACCCAAAGTATCAACTCTTGATTTCTCTCCACAGATGTTGCCAGACTTGCTGAACATTTCCAGCAATCTCTGTTTTTGTTTTTGGTTTACAGTATCCACAATATTTTATTTCACTTAAATGTAGTTGCTGCTAGTCATTCTGATCCAGAAACCTACTAGTCCAGAGTCCAGATAATCACTGTTTAAATCAGCAGCTACCTTTATTTTGTATGTTGAATTTTTATGGTCACACAGGTTAACTTTGTGTTGTCAGAATAACCTGTTCAGGATGTGGTGTTGTTCATGCATTCGAAGTGTGAAAAAAAGGTCCTTTGGTTTTCGCAGGATAAAGAAGGGCAGTGGGTGCGTTCAGCAGCATGTTTGTTCTGACCTATTTTTCTCATTGTCAGGTGTTAATGCTTGAATCCTGCACCTCTGCTAACAACACTAAGTGTACCTGAATGGAGATTATTACAAACAACTTTATGTAGACTGGAGAGAAATCAGAGTGGGATGAAAGAAATAATAGGAATATAAGTGTAGGCAATGAGCCTTGTTGGAGGGATTTTGGAAAGTTGACTGAAAGTTTGATCGAAGCATTAGGTTTTGAGAATTCTTTGATAGATAGTTGGGAGAGAGCAAGGGAACTGTATATCCGTAGATGAGTATTACTTCATGAGGAAGGAGCAGGTAAGTGGAGACGGAGCCCAGGGACAGAAAGAAGGTTAGGCACACAAAGGGATTGTTGACAGCCAGTGGGAAAGAAAAGTTGATAATGGGACCATAAGTAGGTGAAAACAGGTTGGCTGTGCAAATGTTTATTTCATGGAGGTTGCCCATCAAATGGGTGATAAACATTGTTATGCTTGGACACTACAGGCTCATTTTGTTCCTTTGAACCTAGATATTTTCTAATCAACCTATTCAGAGATGTTATTACACACTTGGTGGGATATGAACCTGGACCTCCTGGCTCAGAAGTAAGGACAGTTCCACTGTGCGATGAGAGCCCTTGTCCTATGAGCCCACCACAGCATTATAATTGGAACCAGTTGTAACTCCCCTTTTCTTCCATTCTATAGCAAGTTTTCATTACTCCCTCAGAAGCACAACCATTTGCTTTGGGAATCTTCAGAAGAAACGTTAAGTAGGTTGTTGGATACTGCTCCTCAGCCACATCTGTAACTCTCGCCTTTCAGCAACCCACAATCAGAACCTGATTAATATCTTCAACATGTAACACTCATGTATAACTGTATGTTTTGCTGATAGCAGACAGTAAACTGTGCTAAAATAGCACATCTCCATGTAACTTTGTAAGCATCCACATATGTCACTGAATCATGATACCATATTTGATTATACTCCAGCTTGTTTATCTACCTGAGAACAAGAATAGTTTTGAGAGAAATTATTTCCTCTAGCATAGCAGTCCACCACGAGGGTGGATCATTGGCATTCAGGCCACTCGGGTGAGGTCAAAAACACTTCTTCACGTCAAATAATGGTGGGAATCTGGAACTCCATTCACAAAAAGCCATTGAGATTATGGGGATTTGTTAATTAAAATGATTAAAATCAAAATTTGGAGATTTTTGTTAACTGAAGCTGTCAAAGAGCTTGAAACAAGGATGAGTAAAGTCAAAGAACAACAATAATCTAATTGAATGGCGTGAGAGTCTTGAGTGACTAAACTGAAATTTACTGCCCATGTACATGTACTTTCTTTCATCATTCCTCTAATCTGTAGCGGAATAATAAGTGGATAAGTAAAGTTTGAAAGCATATTTAATTTTGCAGCTGGCATTAATACATAGGTTAACTGCCTGTTTGTCTTTGCTCCTCTCCAGCAATGATCTTCAGTAAATCATTAGTGGTTGGACCTCTTCTTGCTTCCAGAAAGATCCATCAGCCTCCAGTGCTTCTGACATCACAGATTCATACGTCTCCCAGCCATTTGAGTAAGTGTTGTACCTGTGAGTTTCTGTTGTATCAGATGCAGCCAAGCCTTTTGTCTTTATTAGCTGCTTCAAAAGCAGGAAGGGGGAGTTGCGCCTATAATTTCTTTCTGTGACAAGACAACTGTGGTGCAGAAATGTGGAGAAAGGATGGGATATTTGCAGGTGGCGTGGTGGCTCGGCAGTTAGCACTGCTGCCTCGCAGTGCCTTAGTCTGTGAGAGTTCCTCCGGGTGCTCAGGTTTCCTCTCACAATCCAAAGGTATGCGAGTTAGGTGCATTGGCCATGTTACAATAAATTGCCCACAGTGTCCAGGGATGTATAGGCTAGGTGGATTAGCCACAGTAGATGTGGGGTAACAGTTATAGACCAGGGTCTGGATCTAGGGGATGCTGTTTGAAGGGTCAGTGCAGACTTGAAGAGCCTTATGGCCTTTTCCCACACTAAGGGGCTTCTGTGATTCTGTGAGGTTCTATGAGGTTTGCCGCAATGGGCTCAGATAGCAGCATTTGGGTTCATGAGCACCCCCCCCCCACTTCTTTGAGGTAGCGAATGGCAGTTGTGAAGAGGAGACACTGTGTCCGTTGTATGAATGCCAAGAGCCCAAAGCACTCCTTCCACTTAGGAAGTGGTTCCAGCGGCAGAAACTGAGATGTTTGTGGGTTAACTTGGTGTGGGTATGTGTAACTCTATCACTGGCTAAGTGCAGGAAAAACCAGGTGGTCATGTGGCTTGTGAAGTTGAGTGGTTGCTTGACACTTTACTGTATGTCTGAACCTGTCTGATTGTGTAGGCTCCTTACCCCAGACTGACAACTCTGCTTCATAGGTGCTGGTAGTGGGGATGGTTGAAGGGTGGTTGCTTACTGTGTTTGTGCAGTGTAGAGAGAAGGACTGATTATTGGTGTAGGAAAGAAGGGAAAGGGGCTTCACTTTCATCGAGAAATAACATTAACCATCAGCCCTCTCCACAAATGCTGCATGACTTGATAGGCATTACCAAAACTTTGTTTTTATCTCATATTTCCAACATTTGCAGTCAATTTTTTGAAATTGAAAGATTTGCTAGGGCAAATAGACTAATTGCATTTCTAAGGAGTGCAGAGTACAGAAGGGCATAAGCTCAATATAAGAGCTGGGCTGTTCAGGGGTATTTTTCAGAAGCACTTCTTCACAGAAGGGGTAGCAGAAATCTTTTTCTTTTTATAAAAAGTTCACCCATCAAAAAAAGCTTTGAAAATTTCGAGACTCTGTTTGATGTACTTTTTTTATTCAGTTGATTATATTAAGACCGCCCACACCAGACTGAATTAAGGTGGAGACTAGCCATGATCTAATTGAATGGAAAAATAGGCTCAAGAGGCTGCATTCCTATATTGCTATGTGTTTAGAAATCCAAAGCCAAAACAAAACCTTTGAAGCGCAACCAACAGCTTTGGATAGATCACGTCAGATCATTGGTGAAAAACTTCCTTCAGAGTTCAGCATTATTAGGGAAACCCATTTTATCTGTATGCATTTACTGTACAGCTTTGATTTTGTTTTCTGTTTCTTGAGCTGCACTTTTTTCTGACCAAAACTATAAAGAAAAATAGTTGTGCAATCATAAAATAACTTACGACTAAACAAAGTTTCCAATTATTTATCGTCCTTCAGTTATCCTCTGGTCTATAGTTTTTTTTGTTCTTTCATGGACTGTGTGGGCAAGGCTGACAAATAATACTGCCCCTAATTTATTTTTTGGTGTGTGAACCCTCGAAGTTGCTGCTGTGTACAGACCGCTGAAACCAGTTGTCAGTGCATTGGCACGCCGGTTGGTGTGTGCGAACCTTGGAGCAGCCATGCAGCTTAGAGAGAGCACTCCTGGCAAGGACGGTATCTGTTGCCCATTCCTAAGTATGCTTGAACTGAATTGTTGTTAGACCATTTGAGGACATTGAGTTAATTGGGTTACTGTGGGTTTGGAGTTGCACGTAGGCCAGAGTGCATGAGACAGCAGATTTCTTTGCTTAAAAGCCATTAGTGAACCAGATGTATTTTGCAATGTAATGATCATTACTGAGAGTAGCTTTCTGGTTCAGATGTTTATTACCAACAGCCACTGTGGAGGGTTTTGAGCCCATGTCCTTGGGTATTAGACTGAACCTTTGCTTTATTAATACAGTAACATTACCACAACATCAACATCTCCCCCTAATAGGTGTTATCGTTTAGATCTCTTGTGCTTTTATGTGAATTTGCAGCTTAAGATACTTGGGTGGTAAACAGCAGGTGGCAGTAAAGGGATTGAAATGTGCTGGTTTTAACAAGCAGACTTGCACTTTTGTAGTTACACTTTTAAGAGATGTCATAGCATGGAAACAGATTTGACACCTTTCAATGCAATGCAGGGGGAAGTAGAATATGTAACAAATGGCAAGTGAGGTGAGGTAGATGGGATTAACAGTTGAATCTAAGAATATTCATTTATTTTTCTTGTTTCATGGGTGTGGGCATTGCTGTGAAGCTGGCATTTAGTGCCAATCTCTAATTGCCCTCGAACTGAATGGCTTACTAGACCATTAGGAAGGCAGTTAAGAATCAACCATTTTGTTGTGGGTCTGGAATCATGAGTGAACTGGATGGATTCTTAAATGACCTTGATCATTTTTATTCCACAATTTTTACTGATTTTTAAATTCAAATTCTACGAGCTGCCATGGTGAGATTTGAACCCATGTTCAGATATAAATAGCCTGGGCCTCCAGATTGCCAGTTCAGGGATGTTATCACTTTGTCTCCATTTCTTCCTGAGAGATGTTTTGGAGAGACTTATCCAGGGAACAGAGGTGAGAATGAGGGATTCTTGGATGGAGGAATGTTGTGTTAAGCAAATAATGGATGTTGCAGTGTTTTCCAGTCGTACCTTTTGTTACATTTGTAGCAAGATTTATAGTACAAAAAGGGGTCATTCTCATCAGCCAAAAGAACTTAATGCATCGTCCTAAAATTACAGCTCCTTGAATGTATATCTGAGAGTTTTCTTTAATTTAATAAGGGTTTCTGTTTCAATCACCCTTTCAAACAGTGAATTCTATACCATTTACCATCTACCAGGTGAAAGAATTCCTCAAATATCCTCAATTCTTTCCACCAATTACTTGGCCTCTCTGCTCTCAAAAATGGGTCATTCCTTTGCACCATACTTAGGCCCCTCAATTTTATGCACCTCAATTAAATCTCCAGTTAACCACCTCTGTTTTAAAGAAAACACCCACACCCTATTGGGGAGATTGTAGCATATTGGTAATCTCACTAGAAGAGTAATGCAATAGCCCAGACTATTAGGAAGGTAGGACTTAGGAGCACAGTTTGTCCATTTGACCCTTCGAGCAATGGGATTGCAGGCTAGGGTATCAGCTCCACTTTCCAGATGTATCCTCCTCCTATAATCTCAACTTCCTGAACTCTTAACTGAAGTGAAGAAAGCTCAGTACTAGCATTAGCTTCATCACAAGCATTAGCAAAAAGAGGAAACTATATAATCATTAACAAATATATTGTAACCATTTAAAATCTGTTTGTGGGGATAGAGATAAACAATAACAATAGTAAGGGAATATTTGTTTATCTGTGGTAGTCTAAAAATAAATTTTTGCTTTTTGAACATCCCACCTGATCTGTACTAACTTATCATTGTTATTTTAATGCTCTGGGAAACACTGATTCAAATCTCACCGCAGCGACTGGTGAAATGCAAATTTAATTAACAAAAACTATCTCAAAATGAAGCTAGTCTTAGTGATGGTGACTGTCAAACCTTCATTGATGAATAAAACCCACCTAATGTCTTTCAGGAAAGGAAATCCACTATCCTTACCTATTCTGACCTACATGTGAATCCAGACCGATGGCAATATGCTTGACTCTTATCTGAAATGGTCAAACAAACCACTCTGTTGATTTAGTGATGGGTGACAACTACTGGCTTTATCAGCAAAGCCCACTTCCAACAAAAAAATAACAATGCAATCTTTTCTCAGACTTAAAATTCCCCATTTATGGAAATCTTCCTTAAATCTCCTTTCTAATGTGATGACATCATCCTGTAATATTATGACTAGGGCTATGTTGTGCTTTCTTAATGTTATATTCCTATTCCATTTACCCTAATGTGCTAGAGCCATTCATTTGTCTCTTTTAGTGCTATTACTTTCTACAGTGGCTCTGTTTCTCCAGGTCCATGTAATTGTTATAGCTGGTTGTTTCTTAATTCCCCATGTCAGTCAACTGAGCAGTGGACAAAAATAACTCGGTGATGATCAAAGCCTTTCTCTCCCTATCTTCATGCAATTTACTTCTGCTCAATGCTACAGTAATGGTTTTGCTGCCAGGAGCAAACCCTGTAGGATAAGGGAACTGAATCTATAATGTACTAAATTTATGTTCTGCCCATCAATTGTCGTCTAATCTGCCGTAAACTGAGAATTGAAACAAAAGTTTAAATCTGTGTCAGTACAACATCTTTCTGCACACTTAATTTGTTGTTGCAGATCTGATTTTAGTTGGTTTCTGAAGGTTTCTATCATGGTCTTTGATCTCTGCTGAGTGAACAGTTGGAACACTATAATCGGCTTCTGACACCTGGAAAATCAGTTTATGTTCCCAGTGGAAATGACAGATATGTGGTTGTTTGTGGAGGACCCTGGCTTGGCTCTGATCTTGCATGCCGTTTAATTGCTACTTGCTACTCACTCCGGCTTACACAGTGATTGGTTCCTGTGAATCTATACTCAGCTAGATGAGCATGACAGGGGAGCAAATCAGTAGCAGCAAAAGTATAATTGATTCCAATACAAAACATGTTAGCATGCCCCAACATGAAGTCATGAGGTGTAGATCTGTTGCGATGGTTTGTAATGAGCTGATCATCTGATCTCAACCAAGTATGAAGTAACATCATGTCTCAAAAACAATTTTGCCCAACTTATGTTCCCTGGGCCTCTATCTTATCCTATCAGCATTTCATTTTGTTCTTTGTAACCCAATTCTCTTTACCACCCCTGAATTATGAATTATGATGATTCCTTTCTGTGCCTTTTTGATGAATGGCAAATTCCATCTTATAAATGATGGAAATGTTTATCATTTGTGTACACCTAGGCACTAAGTATTGACCTTTGTTGCCTTCTCTGATGCTTTCCTTCCAAAATACCCAACTCTCATTCAAAACCATGTAGCCCACTCTTTGCTGACACACTAAGTCCCTGCACTTCCCATTTTCTTGTCCTGTTGCAAATTTCAATATGCCTGATGGTCAATGCGAGATTGAAATTCCTGCTTCCATATTCACCATGGCTGCCCATTCCCCTTCCACCATTCTCCATCGCTAAAGCCCCTGTGTGCTCTCACCTGCTGCCACTCAACTGCTTAATTGCAGCTCCATGGATTGCGATTCTGGCCTCTGAATCAGGAAGTTGTAGGTTTCAGCTCACTCCACAAATATGAGCACTAAACCTGTACTGATATTCCTCTCTCAGTACTGAGGGAGCACTGCACTGTTGGTGGTACCTTCTTCCAGAGATGATATTAAAGGAAAGCCCTGTCCCCTCTGTCTCCTGCCTGCCCTCTCTCCCTGTTTCCCCATTTCCTTATTGCGCTGTAATGAAAGCAGAGATCAAACCCACACCGATAACTAAAACCAAAACACCCAGAAAAGCTTGCCTCACCTTATAATCTGTTAAAAGAAATGTGAAAAGTAGTATAACCTGCCTCTCCCCCCACCCCCCCCCAATCTGCTATAAAAGGGAAGTTAAATGAAATGAACCCTTGACAGTCACTATAATGAAACAACTAACAATTTACTAATCTAACGGTGAAGAAATTAACAAAACTACTAATGAACCAAACAATTCCCCTCTCAACCACTAGCTATCATCAAATAAAACAAAATACTAATGGTATTTTATTCCAATAAATACAAAACCCAGTTGAATAAACCAAATTAATAAATAAAAATAAAAATTCAGTCTCTCAAAATTGCAGCCTGGATTCGTCTTCCGGAATGTTCTGTGCCTTCTCCCTTGATCTTCAGTCAGGAACGCCTTTCTCCATCAAATTCTTATGTTAGGAATATTAGCTAAGAGTGCCGCTGTACCTTTAGTCAGATGATCGTTTTCTGTGAGCTTAGAGAATTCTGTGAGAGCCAATGATTTTCTCTTTAGGGCTGATGGTTGTTAACTCTAACAGATGGCAGTTGCTCTTACACCGATTTTCAAATACCCTCCTCTTTTATACCCTTGATGAGCTATTGATTTCTTAGAGTAGGATTGATTCTAGGTTGTCAAAACCATCAGATTTAAATTTAATTGTTTTTTTAGTCTGTAAGTACCTGTTTTAAATTAATTGGCTGATTCAAACTGGTTGCCTTAATAGCAAAACAAGTCTACTGCCTGGGTTGCTAACCATACAGCCTTTTGATACAAATGTTTCAATTTCAGGAACTCTCTGTGCCTGCTGCTGCTCGCAGACTTTTTGTTAATCTCCAAGCCTAGAAAAAGCCCATCATCTTTTAAAGGGACCGTGCACTCTTCACCCTATATTTTAGAAACATCAAATCTAACATCCTGCCTTGCAATCCACAAATACTCTACCCATCTTCGCAAAAGCATTCTCTCTCTGTTGCGCCCCCCCCGCCGTTCTTTTTTCTCTCTCTCTTTCTGTCACCCCCTCCCTTTCTTCTTGCACGCACTCTCTCTCTGTTGCTGCCCCTTTATTTTTGCACGGCTCTCTCTCTGTCACTCCCCTTTTTCTCTCACCAGCCTCAAAAGAAGTGCGTATAAATATCTGTTGCCCTATTTTGAAGAACAGTGGAAACATTTTATCAGCGATGCTCTTTTATCCCTGCTCCACCAGCACGTAGAGATTGTGTCTTGGTTGTTTCATTGCTTTTTGTAGCGGGTTTCTTTGTGCAAATTGGCTATCTTACTGTGTACACCACAATGAGCTTTAGGATTCCCTGAGATTCTAGGAGTCACTAAATAAGTGCATGTCTGTTTTCCTTTAGCACTGGTTTGTTCCTTTTCCCAAATCTTCTGTTCTGTTCTCAATGGCCACAATACCCCGTCTTCTGTACTCTCTTCCATTTTACCATCTCCCTTTTGTATTTTCAGAAATGTATTTAAAACATGACTGTAGGAGGAGCTTTAGTTCACAGACCCAATTCTTCTCGTATCTCCCTTTTTTCCAATTGCTTCACTGTCAGTGCATTTACTGTCAGTGAAAAGCTTTGAGCTAATTGTATGTCCGAGAAGCTGTACAGAATGCAATACATCATGCTGCACTTTATGTATTTCTGTCATTTTAAGAAAAAGAGGAAGCAATTAATTTCCACTATATGGAGCATGTTTCCAAACATTGTAAAAACTAGTTTCTAACTGACCTTAGGAACCACATCAGTGGGAGAGAGAAAACAATTACCTTTATTTAACCATAAGGAGGTGTAGATTCTAGAATTTGTGATCCTAAAAGCACAACAGGTTATACGCACAGCCATATTGACAGGAAAATAGTACATAGTCACAACTGTACAATATGGAAACAGACCCTTTGGTCCAACTTGTCCATGTTGACCAGATATCCTAAATTAAGTCCTAGTTCCATTTGCCAGCATTTGGCCCGTATCCCTCTAAACCCTTCGTATTCATATACCTATCTAGATAACTTTTAAATGTTGTAATTGTAGCAGCCTCCACCATTTCCTCTGGCAGCTCATTCCATACATGCACCACCCTCTGCATGAAAACATTGACCCTTAGGTCCCTTATAAATCTTTCCCCTCTCACCTTTAAACCTATGCCCTCTAGTTTTGGACTCCCCTACCCTGGGGAAAAGACCTTGGTCATTTGCCCTATATAAATGGCACTGTAACATAATGTGAAGCCATCTTGTGTAAGCAAGAGCATTCAGTCATTGTTATATTCTTGTTTGTCTGTTTATTTGGAAATTTGGTCTTGTGGGAGTACAAACTTCTGATAATGTAATTGACAATATAATTGGAAATGATCATGGCAGAAGATGCTGACAAATTTCATCCATTGGTAATTTAACTGATCCAGTTTTATAAAGTTTTCCTCTCTTCTAAGTAGTTTCTTCAAATGTTGACTATAGCAACAGAAATTAACATCTGAAAGTTCACGTGAAATTCAAAAGTTGCACAATTTCTATAAAGTGGCATCTTTTCTGTTTGTATTTATTACAGTTTATTTCTGACTCAGTTGTTTTTGTTCAAATTGCTGGATTCTTTTGTACACAAATAACTAATCTTATTAGGTGTTTTTTAAACCCTCTTCTGCAAATTAGGTTCTGATTTGCAGACTGGAATTGTGGGGCTATTCATGTTGCTTCTGTTGTCCAGTTAAATTAATGTGATTAGAGATTTTTACCTGGTGTTATGCACATTATGATATCCCATTATTGCATGTCATTTTATTCCTTCGTTTGTAGCTGGTTCGAAAGCTGCGTCTCTACATTGGACAAGTGAGCGGATACTAAGTGTCACGTTATTGGGCCTTATACCTTCTGCCTATTTCTATCCGGGAACTGTCATGGATTACTCATTGGCTGCAGCTGTTACTCTCCATAGTCATTGGTAAGGTCACATTTTAAGTTCTTGTGTGTAATTTATCTTCTATTAATTTTGGTTTAATTATTGGAACAGGATAGACAATTTGGTTTGATAGATTACATTGATAGGGGACATGAAATGCCTCAATTATGTGAAGATGTTAGAAAAGTTGGGATTTTGTTTTATTTAGCATTCTTCAGTGGGATATAGGCATAACTGACATGGTCAGAATTTGCCACACATCTCTAACTGCCCATAAACTAAGTGACTTGCTCATCCATTACAGCGAGCAATTAAGAGTCAGCCACATTGCTGTTAATTCACATGTAGCCCAGACCAGGTAAGGACGATAGATTTCCCTCCATTAAAGGATATTATTGAACTATACTGAGTTTTGACATTTGGTGATGGATATTATGGTCACCTTTGCTGAGACGGACTGTACTTTGCATGTTTATTAATAGAATGTAAAATTTCACCACCTGCCATGATGGGATTTGAACCTGTGTGCCCAGAGCATTAGCCTGGATTCTGGTTACTCGCCCAGTGACATTACCACTGCAGTACCATCTCTCCTCAATTGTTCCCTTCAGAGTTTTGGGAAAAAATGTTCCTTGTGTGTTGGATCATTGGCCAGACTAGCATTTATTGCTCATCCCAATTACTTGAAGGGCATCTTCCTCTGCAGTAGAACTCTACTCCTGAGCGGGTGGCAGTGATTCTCCTTTTTGGATCACTGCAGCCCATGTGGTGTAAAATAAGGTAAAGTCACCATAGTCCCAGAGAACCTAGGGCTGCGCTTTCATTAGAGGGATGACCGGTGGTGAATGTAAGCTGAGTGTCGCTGTAACTTGGGCGAGGTGCGAGTTTGAGAAGGTAGGATCTTGATGGTAACCAAGTCCATTTAGCACAGGTTCATCCACGGTGTTGTTTAGAAGGGATCTCCCAGAATTTTGACCCAGTGACACTGAAAGAATGACAATATCTTTCAAAGTTAAAAGGTGACAGATTGTGGTGTGTTCTCATCAGTCTGCAACCTTTGTCTTTCTAGGTGGTTGTGAATACTTGAGTTTTTGCAAATCATCTTGTTGATAATATACACTGGTGTTGGAAGGTGGAATGTTTGAGGTACCTTTGTTGGTAAAGGCAGAGACTGAGCTATTTGGAGTTGAACGTCTCAGGTTTCAATTTGTGCTGTTGACTTTCTCAAATAAGGTAACAGTCCTCTGTCTGAAAGTACTACAGAGAGAGTTCAGCAAAACTTCCAGCGCCTGATTACTATTCAAGGCTACGGCTTGGAGTGACTGCATATACATGTGGCAGTTGGGTCAAAACAAGTTTGTTGGTGGTTTCTGGGGCATCGGGGCTCTTGTGAAATATGTCCATTTAGCCAAGGCAAAGCAAAGTGGAAGTTGTATCCTCAACACGAATCAGTGACCCTCGGAATAGCAGTGGAGAAATTTGGAAGGAATGTGATAACCAGTGTCTGTTTGAGCTTGCTGAGGATGCCTATTCCCAGACTATTCCTTGACCACTGGAAACCAAGTGTGTGTGGTGGATGATTTACTGTTGAACTGGTTGAGGTCAGAGTGGCTCACATCTTCTCCTAGGGTACCTTCATGATTATCTCAAATGTTTTTGTTTTCAGACATGATTCTCCTCCTCTCCAAAAAAAAACACCGACATCACTGACCTCACTCCTTTCAGTTGCTAATTAAAACCTTCCTGTCTGGACAAATTCTTGGCTACCTGTTATAATATTTCCTTACATGTCTCAGAATCAAATTTGGTTTGATGAAACTGCTGTTCTCAGGAAAGTTCATTATATTTAAGGAAGTATAGAAATGCACATTGTTATTTTTCTGCAAAAAGAAATCTTGTTACACATTGTGGCAGCTAACTGAACACTTAAAAAATGTAGTGGCTGATGCAATTTTCCTGCTAATGTTGGCTGGAACTTAACTGGAATTGCTTGCTATATCTCCTTACAATAAATATATGTCTGCAAATCTTTGGGGTAATGGCTGGAAAGAATTAATTTATTTTACAGATCCTCCCCACACTGCTTTGATCATGAGGGCACTGATCTGAATCTAGACTTTGTTGAGGTTAACAGCAGACACCTGCGCATTTACTGAAAGATAATTCTGAGATTGAGTTTCCCTTAATTTCTTGGTTTGAAAAATTTTAAAAATAATTTCACCTGTTTTTCCGTTAGGGAAATTTGTTTTGTGAATTTACAGTAACTGGTCTAAAATAGGGTGATCGTAAGATAAGCCAGTTCTGAATAAGTCATATTTCACTTGAACCAATAACTGTTCCTGTCTCCACAGGCACTGCTGTGTTTCACCAGTATTTTCTGTTTTTAGGTTAGATTTTCAGCATCTGCAGTCTTTTGCTTTTGTTGTTAGTCAGATGTCCCTTATGTGTGGTGTGGCAGGGGAAAGAGAGCAAAAGGGAAACTAGGGTATAGGAGTAACTGGGTGAGTAAAACGATGCGTAATGTTTGAGAGTTAACATTGGTTCACCAGTCATGATTTATTCTGTCCACCCTAGAAAATTGTGCATGAGATCAGAATTATGATCAGCTTTGATCAACTGGCTTGACTCTGCTTGCTGTGTACGCTTCCATACTGAACCTACTCAATTGAGCAAGATGTCTCAATTCAGCTAGCTGTGGAAGAGTTGTTGTCAGACTTGAGTTCACTCCTTTGGGATAGCAAGTACTGAAAGTAAAATTGAACAAACCAGTTTATGAAATGGAAACTTACTTGTAATTGATGTGTTTGTGGCACATCTTGTTGAATGTTTTGGACAGGCGTGTGGTGTTGGGGAATTTTTCCATTTAAAAATAAATTTGTGACGTCCTGCTTTGAGATGTTTGCTGTATTGATGAGCTGCCTGTGCCCACATCCCATAACCTGTGGTGCTTTTAATTTGACGTGAAATAACCACAAATGTTGTTTTGCTGAGTTGACCCCCTCTCTCTTTTTATATCTGTCTTTTTGTAAATTTTCATTCTGTATCCCGAGCCAAAGGATGTTGACTCCTTCATTGATTGATCGCCTGTCAACAGGATGCATTGCTTGCAGGGAAGGAATAGAGTAAACTGAGGGACCTAAGCTAACCTGGCAAGCAAAGGGTTTCATAATGTGCAGAAGTTATGCATTTGTGTCCGGTAATGTTTAGACCACTGTTGGAGACCTCCATACATCTTTGGATATCCCATGATAGAAGGGACGGAGGTGATGTAGAATGTCGATGTGTCAGAATTGTGACCATAAGAGGAAAATAAACCAGAAATGTTTCCAGTGAAGCAGACAAAGCTCATAATTACATGTTCTTAATGATAATAGTGTGAAAAATAAGGACAGTGTATTTAGTCTAGGTACAAACTCAGGATTATTAATTTAAGTTTGACAACTCTCATAGCTGTGACGTGAGCTTCCTCAATACAGCTGTCACATATATTGTCTTCTGCAATGAGGCCTAAACTCATGATCCTTGCACTTAGAATTGAGAAAGCAATGGTCCTCTCTTCCTCCTCTGCTTAACTTTGTCATTCTGCTGCAGAGGAACAGAAGTTGGATTCCCATTGGGAAAGATTTCCAGAAGAGTCATCTTAAAGCACTTGGGTGCTAGTTCACTGCTGGCTATTTATACCTTGGAGCAAAGTTGCCTATTTTTTCATTTTTACTGAAAATGTAATGTGCTCAGGGCAGTGGAAGAAAGATAGAAACACCTTAAGGGAATAGAATCACTGCAACTAAATGTTATCAACATAATATTGCATTGTGCGTTCTGAAATCTCAAATCTGACCTTGATACTCAGTTTTGGTTTCTCAAAATTGTCTGGTTAGATCTGAAAGTGGAACATTACTCTAAATCATTCTTCAGATTTCCACCAATGCTTGCTGTGTCAGAATATCTTTGTTCACACTCAAATTTGTCTGGTTTAACATTGAATCAATTGACCTAATTTGTAGAAGATGGTTGCAAAACCATCTATTATTGGAAAAGTATTGGAATTGGTTATTAAGGACAAAACAGAACATTTGGAAAATTATAATCTAAGCAAGCAGCCAGTGTAGCTTTGTGAAAGGGAAATTGTATCCGACTAATTTAGAGTATGTCAAAAAAGTCTCAGCCAGAGTGGATTGACAGGAACCAGTACTTCACAAAAGGTGAATTCGTGAGATAAGAGTCTATGGTGTTGGAGGTAATACATTGGCACGGATAGAGAATTGGCTAATGGGCGGGAAACAGCAAGTGGGGATAAGAGAGCGAAAGGGAAACTAGGATATAGGAATAACTGGATGAGTAAACCTGTGCGTAATGTTTGAGAGGTAACATTGGTTCACCAGTCACGATTTATTCTGTCCACCCTAGAAAATTGTGCATGAGATCAGAATTATGATCAGCTTTGATCAAATGGCTTGACTCTGCTTGCTGTGTACGCTTCCATACTGAACCTACTCAATTGAGCAAGATGTCTCAATTCAGCTAGCCGTGGAAGAGTTGTTGTCAGACTTGAGTTCACTCCTTTGGGATAGCAAGTACTGAAAATAAAATTGGGTTCTTTCAGGTTGGCGACCAGTGACCAGTGGGGTTCCATAGGGATCAGTGCTGGGACCACAACTGTCTATGTTACATTACTATGTTACTTGGTGAAGGAAATGAATATACTAAAGCCATGTTTACATACAACACAAAAATAGGTGGAAAGGCAGGTTGCGAGAGGGATATAAACATCTTAGAGAGGTATTGAGAGGTTAATCAAGTGGGCAAAATGTTGCCAAATGGAGTATAACTGGGGAAAATGTGAAGTTGATCTTTTCAGAAGGAGAACAAAAGAAAAGAATTTTACTTAAAATGGAGAAAAACTGCAGAAACCTGCAGCACAAAGGGACTTGAGGCACTTGTGCATGAAACACAGAAAGCTAGTACACAGGAGCAGCAGGTCATCAGGAAGGCTAACAGAATAAAAACCCCCAAAAGAACTGCGGATGCTGTAACTCCAGAACAAAAACAAAGTTGCTGGAAAAGCTCAGCAAGTCTGGCAGCATCTGTGAAGGAGAAAACAGAGTTAACGTTTCGGGTCCGGTGACCCTTCCTCAGAACTCTGAGGCTAATAGAATGTTGGCCTTTATTTCAAGAGAGGTCTTACATTGTGGTGGGGAGAACACATCTGGAGTACTGAGAGCAGTTTTGGTCCCCTTATTAAAGAGATCATCTCACTGGAGGCACTTCAGAGAAGGTTCACGAGGATGATCCTGGTATGAAGAGATTGGACAGGTTGGGACTCTACTCACTGGACTGAGAGATGATCTCATTGAAACATTTGATTTTTAAGGGGTTTGAGAGGATTTTCTCCTTATGGGACAGTCTAGGGCCAGAGGGTACCTTAGAATAAAGTGGTCCCAATTTAAGACTGGGATGAAGAGGAATTTCTTTTGAGCGTTGACAGTCTTTGGAACTCTTTGCCACAGAGAGCTGTGGGGCAGAATTCTTGTGTATATTTAAGGCTGAGATAGATTCTTGATCAATCAGAGAATTGACCATAATGGGGAAAGGGCAAGGAAGTAGGTGTGAGGAATGACTAATCAGCCATAATCCTGTTGAATTGTGTAGCACGCTCAAGGGGCAGAACAACCTACTCCTATTCCTATTTCTTATGGTTCCTAATTCCTACCAACATTTGCATGAAGAATTATTTCCTTATTTCCTAAAATATTTGACCGGAATGTTTAATCATTGATCCCTAATATGCCAAATGTATTTATAGCAGCTTAATAATAAGTCTGATTTTGCTGAAATTTCAAAGATTTCTCTCAGTACAACAAAAAATTATTTCGTGGGGGAAAACGTGTTCACTGTTGCACTGGGGGATGTTGGACTATTTACAATCTTTGGCAAACATGGGCATTCACTGAGCAATGGTTTTGGATTTTGTGTAAAAGTTCATTGCCTGTTTAATTTGTTAATGCCTCTGTTCTCTTACAGGGGTCTTGGGCAAATACTTATAGATTACGTACACGGAGACACCAAGGTGAAGCTGGCCAAGGCAGGCCTCCATGTCCTGTCAGCAGTCACTTTTGCTGGCCTGTGCTACTTCAATTACCATGATGTGGGAATCTGCAGGGCTGTTGCAATGCTCTGGAGCCTCTAACATATTAATTAATTGTGGTACCATACTTTCAGCTGAACCATTTCTGGGCTCACTTTGATTTTTTGAATGAATATATATACATCCTATATATTTAATTTTCTTGACAAATCACGTTAATTATTTCTTTAAAAAGAGCTGACAGAATGGAAACATTTTTCGAATGTATCTTTGAAACCTTTATTTACACTGATTGTAGATGTTGCCTTATGTCAACCAGTCATACCCACCAGCCTTGTACATAAATTGTACTTGTGTTTTTTCCACAGCCTCCACGACCCCGGTGTGTTCAAGTTCCCATTGTATACAACTCCAAAGATTTTTTGAATCAAGTCCAAAGGGGCTTGTTTCACACAATTGTACAAAGCAGAATTGATTTGATTCAAAACTATACAGATATCATCATTTTATTGGGCCCAAGTTTTGTTTTTAACAAGTATTTACCACAAAGCAGGCATTCTGTTCATTTGGTCTGTGCTTGTGTTTATGTTTTGCACTTGCTGCCTCCAAGCCATTTCATCTTATCCTAGTACTTATCTCTTGCAGTTATATAGCCTCCTGTTAAATGCATTCTTGCACTAATCCATATGATAGTGAGTTTTAATTTTAATTGTCAGGATAACATTTTAATCATCATCGGGGTAAAGAAGTTGCTCAATTATTCAGTTTTCATGACTTGTTTTCATTTTGTCTGTTTGTGAAATCAAGATGTGGAAACTTCCCTTTCTGCTCCCTTGCCACTTTGCCTTGTGAAGTCTGCGTATTACTGGAGACTCAAACCCACAAGTGTCTTTTTATTGTTTAGCAACAGTTAATTACAACATAATCAGAATGCTTTGCAAGGCATGTTGCTGTTTCAAGTGACAAAACTTATTGATGTTCGCAACTTGGATGTTTTTGACAAGATGAGGATGCATGAACCATCAGTTCTTGTTTCATCATTGGACCCTGACTGGACCTGTGCAAACTGAGATGGTGCTCTTTCCACCTTGTGAAATAGGTTTGGCAAGGCCCACATCACAGAATTAGTTGAAATTCAGCACTAATTAAAACAATTAATCTAATTAATTTTCATTTTAACAAGAAATAAAAATGGGATGTGAGAGGATTACTGTGATGGGGAGGAGGATATCTGATTGCTTGCCTGATCTGTGGGGGTCGGCCAGGTGGTCTCTGTTTGGGTGCGGACCCATTACAGAAAGAGTGAATTTTGGTCTCTGCTTGGCACTGTCCCACCTGTTGAGCGAATGTTTCTTTATAACATTTTGGTTCCAGAAATAGAAAACCTTTTAAGTTAACTGCAACACAGACTTCACTTGCTGTAAGTGTTTCAACAAAAGTATTTGAAGGATGATTGTATGATCAATTTTGAATTTAGTTTTTAAAAAATAATCCTTTGTTTACTAGTAGTGATCACTAAAGTAGATTATCTAATCTTAAACAATGAGGTTACGGGAATCTGCTGAGAAATTTGGGTGTTGTAATTCCTATGTTGCAACATCACCTGCCTCAAAAGTATTTAATTGGGTGCAAAGCTTTTGCACAACCTAAAGGTGCTATAAAAATGCAAGTCTTCTGGTATTAAAACTGATGAACAGAGGATCTCAAGGTATGCAGGCCAGGAATTTGCCTGTCCCTTTCTGTACCAAAAAAGTGGACTTGATTGTATAGTCATTTACACAGTTTGCTCCCAAAATAGAACCTGCTGCCAACAGTGGAAAAAACAACAACAGTAGAATAAAATAATGGGGAGTATTAGCTGTCATTTTTGGGAAATGGAAAGTGGGCATTCCGAGTTTTGTTTCATATTTTTGAGTAGAACTACAACATATATTTGGGAGTCTTAGCCAAGAATGAAATTTTGTTCGGCTGTGATATTCCTTCATTGAGTAACCAGTTCACATCCCTTGTTCAGGCAAACGTTAGAAGAAAGATTTGGTTGAGGGTTATATCCTAGAACCATAACCTAGCTGCCTTTGCAAGGAAGAGAAATTTAAAATACTGTATTACACCTTTATGATACACTGTTTAGGAATGGCAGTCTGTAGGTCAGATACTAACCAGTTTCATTGTCATGTATTGGGATGTTTTCTAAATCATTTAATTCAACAACACCTTATTGATTACCCCATTAAACCAAACATGACTTTTAGAAGTCGAAGACAACTGTGTGGCTTGTCAATTTTGCAGCACCATCCACTACGATCGTGGCTGCTTCTGCCTCAACTTTCCAACCAGCTCCCATGTCCTTAAATTCTTGAAGACAGCAAAAATCTATCTTCCGTCATGGACTATTCAAAACCTGGGAAGGTAATTCCAAAGATTGGCTATATTTTGGGTGATTTCTCCTCCTCTCAGTTCTATGTAATTGACTCCTTATCTTGAGACACTGCTCCCATAATTTAGGTTCCCTCCCTATGGGAAGCAACCCTATCCGTGTGGCAGAATATCATTTCAGTTTATTGTAGATTTGTGACAGGTGTTGCTGAATATAGGAAAAAACCTTGGCAAAAATAAGATTGCTTTTCCTCATTTGTAGAAAGAGAGAACCTGTTAAATGGTATACGTGGTGGGTAGAAGTAGCAAGCTGTTCTTGTAATATCCAGTGTCATTCATAATCTCTTATACAGATTACATTTAATGCATCTGAATCCCTTGGTCCAATTGCAGTGAATCTTTTCAATCTTGAGGATCATCAGTCTTTATAAGAGTCTCAAACTAGCTGCTCTTAATATGTGGCCAAATATAAACAACAACCTTCTTGAATTTCTAATGCTGCATATCATTAAACTGCAAAAAAATTTCCACCATAATCTGAGTGTAAATGTAGGGACTTAACTGCTATTTCACTGTCTGCTTTACGCCATCAATGTTATGCACGTGGTCAAGCAAATGAGTAATCTGCAGTTTGGTGCAGGCTGATTTGCAATCTGTGATTTCAACATGCAGTACAAATGCTGTTAGCATTGGGGGAAATTGAGTGAAAGAAAGAAATGTCTTCTCCCCCAAGTTCACAGTACATTCATGGGAAACTTGCATCAGCGGCTTTTTGCTGTGATTATAGTTTCCTCTCTCGTCATTTGTGTTTGATACAAAGACAGACATCCGGCTGCAACCACAAGCCTTTTGACCGGCTCAGAGGACCTCAGGTGGTAGTGTTTGCAGTATGGCTAAGGGCATTGAGTATTATAAGGATTGACATTTTATATTCCATAATGCACAATCTATCGTCCTGCAATGAAGCTGGAGCAGTGAGCAACCTGGTGTCTGTAACCTAGTGACCTTTACAAGGTCACTTACAAGCTAAATTTAGAGGTCAATTAGATCCTAAAGACAGGCTTTTCTTATACACAAAAAAAAAGACTGAATTTGCCACTGAAGTATGAAAGATGTATATCAAATATAAATGGAAAGTCAATGGGGAACACTGGTCAATAAGTGGTCTGCCCACATCAACTAATTAACTGTTGACTAGGTTGAATCTTTGGTGTGCAATATTGATGATTTTCTGCGTAGTGCTCAGCTGGGCCCTATGGCTATGTCATGACAAAGCCAGTGAAATCTCTGCATTCAATATTACCCTTCCTTCAATTGAATACATCAGATCCAAATGTAGTTTCCACAGATGCAATACCATGTTGTATTTGAATCAGATTTGCAAAGTGAAACTGCTCTCCTTCCAACTTAATTGTGTCTTTTGACAGGTCAAATCTGTTCAAATGCTGTAACATTTTGCATATTGAGTATAGCCAATATCTCAACCAGTGTAAATGTATAGTACATCCTTTAAAAACTATTTAAAGAGGATTGTTTGTTAACAAGTGGTAGTATATAGTAGAAAAATCAGCAATCCTGGATGTTTGAAATGTTGAAAAATCAGTTTCCATGATAGTTATTACTGGACATTTCTACATTCATATAAATAGTTAACTTCTTTGTACATAATTTGTAAATTACAGCTTTAAGCAGTTACCAAGTAGCACACCAATAACAGTTGAAACCAAGTTAGAATAAACCAATGAACTCAATTGAAACAATGACTTTTTATTGCAGTGTTTTGGGGCAGGCCAGGACTTGAAGCTTTGCATGAGATATCCTTAACTTAGCTAAGAATAGCAACTAATTCCTATCTTTCCCCTCAAACTAGCATTCACTTTTTTTTTTAAACCATTTGGTATGCCTTCTCCTAGGTAGAGTCCAACCATGGATAAAAGCCAACCCAATTCAACCTTACTGATGAGAATGAAGAACCCCTACCTATTGAGACAAGTCCCTTGCTAGATCTTAATCTAGTGTTAAGAGCTAATGCCTGATCTCAACCTAACTCTTCATATTTGTTGGAGTAGATGGCCTACTCTTGTCTACCCTAAGTCCTACGTTTCTTTGGCTTCAGAGGGGAATAATACTCCTGAACCAATGGTCACTTGGTTTAGAGATGAGCCACTCACTGGAGGACAATCCAGTATTTAGACTCGATATTCTAGTCTTGACTTGCCAGGACAGGCTGATGTGATACCAGAACCCCTCAGCTTCTGACAGAGACGTAACAACATTGCCAGTACACTAAAATCTACACTCATACCCAGCTCAAATCTGCTGGAGGCATTTTTTAAATAAAAAAATATGGCAAATTATTTTGTGGCAAAATAGTGTACTTTTGAACTTCTCTACATTCTCTGACAAAAAGGTTACCTCCATCTGAAAAATTAACTTTCTGCAACCAGACCAGCTGAGAATTTCCAGAAGTTTGTTTTGTATAATATATAAGCACACATACTTGCCACCTATTCTAGTGAGAATGGAAACAAGATTCTTAGTTATAAATATTTTCCTTGATTGTTATTTTTGCCTCAAGAAATTTCATAGTAGTTACAGGTCTTAAATCCTTCACAAACCACATGATGACTGCTGAAAATGTCTTGACCAGACTGCATTTATGCATTACAATCAAATTAAAAGGTTGTTTGCCCCTCTGCCTCACCTCACATCAAAATGTGAACAGCTAATACCAGGTCATAAACATAATCAGTCGAACCCAGAAGTGTTAACTTGAGTACAGCATTGGTTAGAGGACCTCCCTATCCATTATAAGTGAATATCAGTGATGAGAACACTTGCTGTATTGGAGAAATCATTGGTACAGATGAGCAATGCTGGGCAGAGGACTTGAGTTTATTGCCCCACACACATTTACTACAGGTAAATGATCCAGCCTCATTGAAATAGATTCAAACTGAAGTTCACTTAGTTGCATCTGAACAGGTAAGTGATAGGCACCATAGATTTTAAAATCTGTGGCAGATAAACCTTATAAAAGTATTTAAGCAACTTTACAGGGATTTTCCTGACTTCAATATGTAAGAGTAATTGACACAACTCACTATGATCTTCACCAGATGTGAAAGTATCCAATCAAAATGTTAATTAGTTCCTTGCCTGCTGAAGAAACTTTTTTTAAAAAGCATCCTTAACCTAGTAGAGTTCCAGATTAACACCTTGGTATTCGAGCAAATGTTTTGATTTACATTTTCCTCAGCAGCTACTCTGTACATTTCTTTTGACAAATTATTGATAATTATTACCAATCTGGGGAAACAAAAAGGTGATGCAGATCCTAAAATAACTGCAGTGTGAATTAAAATGTACAGGTAACTAACTACCTAACAAATTGTTTCAGAGATAGTAGGAACTGCAGATGCTGGAGAATCTGAGATAACAAGGTGTAGAGCTGGATGAACACAGCAGGCCAAGCAGCATCATCCTGCTCCTCTGATGCTGCTTGGCCTGCTGTATTCATCCAGCTCTACACCTTGTTATACCTAACATCAAATGTCTGCTTGGAGTCAGTCATTCTCGAGTGGTTTGCTTTTTAGTGGGTGGGGGAAAACATGTCTCCTCATTTTTAGGATTCTGATTGGTCTGCTGTTTCCATTATTCTACTTTTCTGCACGTGGTGACAACTCCAGCAGTGTTCTTTCATCAACTTCCTCTTTCACCTCCTTTAATGCTAATTTATAAAGTCCATTTTCATACTCTGTACACAACCAGTAACCACGTGCTAGCTCTGATTCAAACATTGAGAATTGTCCTTTGTGACCCTGCCTGTAGAATATGATGTTGCGGTTGCTACCATCCACTGTTGTTTCTTCTGGAGCATTCTGTTCCTAATTTTAAGAAGAAAAAAAAATTGTTACAGCTTATCCAGGGCAATTTATTTGAAGTCTATAGTGCAGCATTTCACTAAGAAACTAAATAGAATAAGGAGCAAAGAAACCAGAGAATGCAGATACAGGAATCATTAAAATTCATGAGATGAGTTCTTAAGGGCATTAAGAGTACTGGGTTCACTGAGAGGAAGAGAATACTTCCTTTAATTTTGTAATGTTATACTTTGAGCACCTGGAAGTCTGAAATGACAATTGTACATGCTACCAGTAGCCCTGTAAAGTTGTCCTTTTTAACATCAAGGTTTGCGCCAAAACTGGGTGAGTTGTCCCACAGACAAGTCCTGGAACCTCTGTCCTAATAGTACTGTCGCTGTATCAACACTGCTTGGACTGCTGCAGTTCAAGAAGTGGTTTCCCATCACCCTCTTTCCTTAACAGCAAAATGTGCCTCCCATGAATGAATTAAAACTCATGGAGATATTAAAGCTAAGGACATGGTGCCCATTCCCATGTGGAATGAAAATTTGCATCTCCTCAATTGTCTACCTGCCCGAGGGGCTATTTCTGACTCCTGGTAGATTAAAAGCAATTGCAGCACCCCTAGCCCATTAAATGTCAAGTTCAGTTTGAGACCCTCTTTGTATAGCTTTCAGCTGGCTGCTGATATGAGTGGAAGAAGGGTAACGTTCAGTTTCTTAACCCCATTATCCCTCCTGCTGAATACTGGAAAACATGCCTTGAGGATGCACGTGGAGGTTTATTGTAATAATCTTAGGACTACACTCACCAGAAATTCAATACTTTTGGACTCATTGCATGACATTTGATATCTCTTTGAGTTGCACTGAACTACAAAGGAAACTGGAAATAAAATATCCTTGAATCCACATGTTTTGCAGTTTGTTGACTCGTAGTAAATTACATCAAACTTGATGCCTATGAAAAAGATCAAAAACAAAGCATAAGCAATAATTTTTGTGACTTGAGTCAAACTGGTCCCAGGAACTTAAGAATGTACATATGCACAAAACTTTAGAAGAAGTTGGAATGCTGGTTAACAGAAACACATGAGCCTTAACTTTATAAATAGAAGCATAGATTACAAAAGCAAGAAGCTGATTCTAAATCATTAGAGCTCTGGTTAATTTTGGATCGCATTGTCAAAAGGATGTCAGTACGGAGGAGCTTTACGATAGAATGGTGCCAGGGTGAGGGACTTCAGTCTGTGTATACAATTTTTGTGTAGACAGAAAGCAGAGTCCATTTTATCTGTCACTAGGGTCAGAATCAGGGAACTCCCTTTCTGGCAGCACTGAGTATCCCTACATTACTGAGATCACAATAGGATTGTTTCCCTTACAGTAGAAAAAGGTTAAAGAGATTTTATGTAGAGTTGATCACAATTATGTGACATTTTGTGTTAGTAAGTCAGGAGAAACTTAAATCTTAAGTGGTCAGCACAGTTTAGACTAATTGAGTCAAATCAATTCCATCCCAAAAAAAAAATGGAGAATTGTTCATTTTAATGTGATTGTTTTATCTTTATTCCTATCTCCAGCCAGTGCACATTTCGGCAAATTTTGCTGTAATCTCCCCTTCCTCACACAAGCCCCCTTCTGTGAAGATGTGTTCATGAGGTGGGATTAGGATCTAGATGGACTGTGATACTTTCGCTGTTCGAATTGCCCTCCTCTATCAATGAGCTAGGGTCAAATGCTATTTGGCTGAGGTGTTGGACGACAGTCATAGAGCCAGTACAAACTGGTGTTAAGGCCCAGTTTCAGGATATTGAGCAGTTGGGTCTAATCTATGACTGAGCGTGATCTAACTCAGCTCAGATTCAAGATCCACTCCCCTGTCCTCCTCTGAGGGGCTCTATACCACCCCTAGATGGTGCAATTACCTGATGGCTTTGTGGGTAATCTCCTGGGCAGCTTTAAGCCCCTGCTCCAAAAATCAGCCCTAGCAAGGGCTCCAGAGAGTTAGTTTTGATCTAACACACAGGTCACCATTCTGTGTCATCTTCTGCTAATTAATGATTGAGCTTTAAGACAGCTGACAGACCATCTTTCCCTTGAAAAACCCAAACTTTTCCTTCCTTCCTTGTTGAAAAGGCAGCTCTTTGACTAACTTTATGTGGGGCAGCACGGTGGCTCAGTGCTTAGCACTGCTGCCTCACAGCACCAGGGACCCAGGTTTGATTCCACCCTCGAGCGACTGTCTGTGTGGAGTTTGCAAATTCTACCCATGTCTGCGTGGGTTTCCTCCCACAGTCCAAAGATGTGCAGGCTAGGTGGATTAGCCATGCTAAATTGGCCATAGTGTTCCAGGGTGTGTAGCTTACGTGGGTTACAGGGGGATGGGTCTGGGTGGGACGCCCTGAAGTTCAGTGTGGACTTGTTGGGCTGAAGGGCCTGTTTCCAAACTGTAGGGATTCTATGATTAAAAATTGCGAAGTCCACAATTGTGAAAAACATGTTCAGATGTGTTATAAACACCTCTGGAACTGGATGGGACTTGAATCTGGATTTTCTAACCCAGAGGGAGACACTACCACTGGCCACAAGAGCTTTACCCTCTGCCTTCTCAGTACAATGAAACCCCTAAAAGTTGCAGATTGGAGAATCAGACATTGTGGAGTGACCAGTTTCACATCCACTCATTGTAATTTGTGTATTTTTAGATGTTCAGTTCTGAATAATTTAATAACTTACCATTCGCTAAGTTGTCAGGACTCATTGCTAAATCACAGAGGGATTTCACATAAAAAAATCAAATTAGTGACTAAAGAGAGAATCAGCAGCTAATTTCTATATGCTCACATCACTCTTCCATTTTTATCATATCTAAATAATTACCTTTGCAAATGGGATAGACTGGGTGAGGGGGAAGATCAGAAGGAGTTGGGAGCTCAGATGCACAAGTTATTAAAAACAGCAGAAGTGAATTTGGTCAGATGAGGATATAATGGAATCTTGGGTTTTACAGCAAGTGTTTGGGTACAGGAACTTCATGATTCATTCATGGGATTTTGGTGTCACAAGCAAGGCCAGTGTTTATTGCCCATTCCTAATTAGGCCTTGTGAAGGTGGTGATGGTGAACAGGCTTCTTGAACTTTAATGATCTCAGTAACACAGCTGCTGGAAAGGGAGTTCCATGATTTTGACCCCAGCGACAGATAAAATGGACGGTGCTTTGTGTCTCATGCCTGTGTGACAGGGATTGTTGGGGGCGGGGCGGGGGTGGAAAAGAGGTAAGGTGAGGATTGTAATTTTACAGCTTGTTGCCAATTGTCCACTGATTGGCCAGCCAATGTAGCTGGGACAGGAACCAAGCATGGCACAGAGACTGAGCTAGCAGTGGCTACGGGATACCAAGTAAGTTTCAGAATCAGTGTTGTACCAACAGGGTGGGAAATGAATAGATGGCTCTTGCTGACACAACATTTGGATTGGTGAATGGTCACTTCTGGGCAACACAATTTAGGAAGGATTTGAAGGTATTAGACAGGGTGGAGAACTGGGATGATGAACTTCAGTTCAGTTGAGAAATTGGAGTAGTTGGGACTGTTTTCCTTAGAGAAGACGAGGCTAAGAGGAGACTTGACAGATATGTTCAAAACCATGGGAGCTTTTGGTGAATAGAGAATCAGAAACTTGCCTATGGTGCAAAATTGAGAATCAGAGGGCACAGTTAAAGTAATTGGCAAAAGAGACAATGGTTACAAGAGGAAAAGCTGTCATGCAGAGGATGTTCAGATCTTGAGTTCATTGCCTGAGAGTGTGGTGTAGAGGGGGCAGGATCTGGATCACCATCTAAAAGTTCGAAATGGTGGGTGGGAGGAAGAAAGGAGGAAAGAAAGAAAGAACGAATGAACGACAGACAGAGACACAGGCTTGCCAGGCCTCTTGCTATGCTGCAGTCATTCCACAGTTCTTTTATATAAATCGCCCAAATACAGCAACACACTGTAGACCCAACAGGCACATGATATGTTGCTGTGGTCTAATCTTCTCAATTATAAATTATTATGCTTTTTCCAATTGGTTGTCCCCTCAGTACATACTTAAACACCTAACAAAACGAGAAAATAAATTTAATCAGCACTTACAAATGGAGCAAATTTTTCATTGATTATTCACTTAAGTTTCCCAACAGAAACAAACATACCATCAACTTTTTCTTTCTTAATCAGATCACGAAATTCTGCTTTCCTACATCTTTCTTTTCCTGTGAATACCAATAGTTTCTGATGAAAATCCTTCACAAACACTGTGTCCTTGTATGAAAATTCGAGACAGTCTTCCAAAAAATCTAAACAAAGATGAAGTGTTTTACAGTCAGGCAACAGCACCAAGAAGAGCCTTTTCTAAAATGACAATTCCCACCAAATTCAAAACAGGAAACACCTCCAGAGCCAGTGACATCCACCACAAACAATAACAATGGGAACACCACCACCCCCATGGATGGCCTTCCTCCAACAGTTCTGCACAGAGGGAATTGTCGGAATGGAATTATGGCTCCACACTTCTGAAAGAGTCATGATCAAAGTGAATAGGATTGTAACTTCTTGGAAAAATCAGGCTCAATTTGAAAACTTTAATGCATTCTCAGTATTTTGGGATGGCAGAGTTCCTTAAGTGTCCACTGTCCCCTATATCCTTACCTCTAACAAGCATAAACAGCTTGTGGTCTTGTTTGTTACTTGTCTACAGAGAATTGGGGTCACATGGTGGCTCAGTGGTTAGCAATACTGCCTCACAGCACCAGGAACCTGGTTTCACTTCTGGCCTTGGGTAACTGTCTGGGTGGAGTTTGCACTTTCTCCCTGTGTCTGTATGGGTTTCCTCCCACTGTCTAAAATTTGTAAGGTAGTGGATTGGCCATGCTAAATTGCTCTGTAGTGCCCAGGGATGTGCCGGTTGATGGGTTAGCCATGATAAGAGCCATGATCAGAGGGTCAGTACAGACTCCATGGGCTGAGTGGCCACTTTCTGCACTGTAGGGATTCTATGTTCAAAATCTATCCCAGTAAGTACTGTAGCAGTGTCACACAACATGGAGGGTATACTCAATGTGAGAATAAGACATGGACAGATGCATTAATTACAGGCAGACTGGGGAGTTTTTTCCCTCAGCACCAGCTGCAGACCCAGTCTCGCAGCTTTTTCCTTTAGGACTTGGTCAGCTCAGTCAGTACTAGTACTACTGAATCCCTCTTGATGGGGAGTCCCCCACTCGGAGTACATTCAGTTCCCTCCACCCTCAGTGCTTCTTGCACGGAGTGTTCAGCTTGTAGGAGCACTGGTTCATCAGCCAAGAGGCAAGGGTTTGATACAAAGTAGTCAGGAGAAGATTTCCTTGTCCATGTTTGACTTGATGTCATGAGACATCAACGTTGGAAACTCCCAGGGCAATTCTGTCCTAACTATACCACTGTGTTACCGATCTGTCCTGTCACATAAGCAGTACAGACCAAGTCATGGTGTTGTTTGTAAGGCATGATTGCATGCATATGGCTGATACTTGACTAGTCAGTGAGAAGGCTCTTCCTATCTTGGTACAGCCTGCCTGATACGAAGGCCAAACTTGGCAGGGTCAACAGGGCTGAGTTTGTAGTTGTCATTTCCAGGTTGATTTCATTCCTTTGAGGAATTTAAGCTGTTTAACACAACTGGGCCCGCTGGGCCATTTTAGAGATCAATTAAGAGTCAACCATATTGCTGTGGGTCTGGAATCAAGGTATGAGGTAAGGATGGTAGATTTCCTTCCCTAGAAATGCAGTAGGGAACCAAACAGGTGTGACCATAATTTACAGTGGTTACATGGTCACCATTTGGTTAGCAATTTTTTCCATTTCTTTAAATTTCACCATTTTCTGTC